GGAGCTGACACTGTTATCTCTTCACTGGTCCTGGAAAGCTGATCAGCACTTTCTACCGCCAGAGAGCGGGTCTGTGAGGCTCTTTACGACGGTAGGTAAAGGGGATGCCATAAACATGGCTTCTAAGAACAAGTCAACCGCTCAGCGTCATTAAAAGTATACTGGCGTTTATGTTGCTAGAGACTTGAAGCCTTTGCTCAGAAAGATGCTCATTATCCCCAGGAATCTGTCCCCGGGACCCAGACTTGAGCACATCTGGGGTTGAGGGACACAGGACATTGTTCAGGGTGGACATTCAAAAATCAGGTCCCTCTGAAAATATATATTTCTTATCATGATCCATAGAGAGAGAAAACTACAACACTGCATATGGGAACTATTTAGTTCTGGGAAACCTGTTTTTCAGTAACTAGAAGTATTTATCTACTCAGAATAGATTGCATATTTAAAATTGATTTGAGAGAGAGGGGGAGAGAGAGAGACATTGATTCGTTGTTCCTCTCATTAATGCATTCATTAGTTGATTCTTGTATGTGCCCTGACTGGAATTGAACCTGAAACCTTGGCATATCCAGATGACACTCTAACCAACTGAGTTAGCTGCCCAGCCAGGGCCGAGACTGTATTTTATGCACATGCTCACATCTGCCCCCAGCTAAGAAGCCGTTGTATTTACACGGACCTCCAGATGCTAACCTGCCTTCATACTTCCTTGAACCACAAGAGAGTGGACAGTGAGCAGAGTGAACAGACAGTTGCAGCTGGAACCCAGCTGTTTATGGCTCCTCCCAGCTCAGCCAGGACTGGGGACGAGGCCCCGGAGGAATTTTAAGCATCAGGAGTCGAGTCAGATTGAGTTGCCAAGAATAGTCCCCATTACCTTAAAAAATCTGTTGGAAAAAGAAAAAGAAAGAAAAATAACCTATCAGAGTCAATTGCTAGAATACATAGAAATGTACATTATTATATACCTAATATATGATTAATTTTAGAATACATGTATTATATTTGTATTAATATATTTTTACAGATTCTCCACCTAGAATTTTCATAATGGGGACTGTCTCTAACATAATTCATTAATTTACTGGATTTAATTATATGGATTCTGTGGTTATGGCATAAGGAAAAAGGAAGAAAAAAAGCTGTGATTTCAAACTTCAGTAGTGGGTCTAAATGGCCTTGTGCTTTAACCAGCATAAGAGATATGAGTGAGCTGGGCTGGCGTGGATCAGTGGTTGAGCATCGACCTATGAACCAGGAGGTTGAGGTTCAATTCCCAGTTGGGGCACATGCCCAAGTTGCAGGCTCGATCCCCAGTGTGGGCGTGCAGGAGGCAGCCGATCAATGATTCTCTCTCATCACTAATGTTTCTATCTCTCTCTCTCCCTCTCCCTTTCTCTCTAGAACAGTGGTTCTCAACCTTGGCTGCACATTAGAATCACCTGGGAATCTTTTTAAAAACCTGATTTCTGGGCCTCATCCTCCGGAAATTGTTTCTTTGTTACTAAGTTGTGGCCCCATCCCATAACAGAGAAACAGAATTTCCGGAGGGTGAGGCCCAGAAATTAGGATGTTAAAAAGATTCACAGGTGATTCTAATGTGCAGCCAAGGTTGAGAACCACTGCTCTAGAATCAACAAAAAAAAATTTTTTTTCAAAAAAGAGAGTTGGGTGATAAAATTAAAAGCCCTGTACTAATTACCAGGGCAGGACTGACAGTCAAAGAAAAGGTCAAAACATATGAATAAAAGAGAGAACTACTCAAATGCTATATTTATTCTGAAATACAGTGTTTAGTTTTTATTATATGCACTTATAACTCTTTTTTAAATGTATTTCTTTATTGATTTTAGAGAGAAAGGGAGAGTGAGAGGGAGATAGAAACATCAACGATGAGAGAGAATCATTGATCAACTGCCTCCTGCATGTCCCCCACTGGGGATCAATCCCACAACCCGGGCATGTACCCTTGGCCAGAATTGAACCTGGGACCCTTCAATCTGCAGGCCGACGCTCCATCCACTGAGCCAAACCAGCCAGGGCAAATTCTTTTTTTTTTAAGTTACCATAATTCTTATAGGAGAAAATAGCTTTTCTATCATGGGTCTGAAATTATCTAGCCCTCTTGTCCCCTTGGAAACAGTGGCTTTTAAACTGGATTTTTGATAATGCAAAGTTTCTTAGCAATGCAGCCTTTGCATTAGAGCAGAAAAGGTTATGAAGATGTGTCTCGGAAATGCAGAAATATATGGAAAGGACATCCTTAGGCTGTTTAAAATAGGACAAGGAAAGAGGTGTGTCCATGGAATGGGACGTAACAGATTTCTTCAATCCTAAATTCCTCTTTCTGTGTCTGATTGGAAGGAACTATCCAGGTAATCTAGAGTTACAACTATGTCATGTGATACATTTTTTAAATTTGTACACATTGCCGCCTCCATGTAGCAGAGGCTAGCATTGGGCTCCGTTTGCATTTTATTAGCATACTAGAGGCCCGGTGCACTACAGCTGTGCACTGGCGGGGGGTCCCTCAGCCCGGCCTGTGCCCTCTCACAGTCTGGGACCCCTCAAGGAGTGTCTGCCAACTGCCTTAGGCCCGATCTCCCCGGCAGTTGGACATCCCTCTCGCAGTCCAGGGCTCTCGCAGTCCAGGACCCTTCATTCCTTACTGCCAGCCTGCAGCGGAGGCGGGAGAGGCTCCCGCCACCTCCACTGTGCTCACCAGCCATGAGCCCAGCTTCTGGCTGAGCAGTGCTCCCCCTGTGGGAGCACACTGACCACCAGGGGGCAGCTCCTGCATGAGCGTCTGCCCCCTGGTGGTCAGTGCGCATCATAGTGACCATTCTTTCCGCTGTTTGGTCGATATGCATACTAGGCTTTTATTATATAGGATACTCACCCGTCAACATCTAGGAGCAGCATGGAAGTGTGCAGGGCATCAGAAACTGAAAGGAAGCCACTCATGGAGACAGCAAAGGGTCAGCTGGTAGAGTTGTGAACTTTCCATGAATAAACTTAAACACATGAGTGCAGTTAAGAACTAACTATGGTTGGTTCATTCCCACGAAACACAGTTCCTTGTTACTCAAAGGATCTCATCCTTCAAGCCCGAGTGTAAAATGCTCCCTTTCTATAGGAGACTGACATTCTCCCAGAAATCACACTTTTCCTTCTCTGGTACTTCTGTTGCACTCACATATCTCTATGAAAGCAGTTTCCTCATTGTGTTGTAATCATGTGTTTGTGGGTTGTTACGTAGGAGAGGAAGAGACACAATCATTTCCTTTCATCTTTACATGTCCGGGCTTATCACCTCATTAGCCCTGAAAAATTATTTGTTGAATGAATGCACCAAACGTTATGTTAAAAACTGGTTATCAAAAGCCTCTTGAGACAGATCATAAGGTGGTTGAACAGCTTTTTGCAAATTCCATAAATATTGATATATCTGTGGCAGGAATAAAGATGTTTTTGAATGAAAATAGGAAGATGTACTTTATGTCTTTTTAGAACCATTTGTAGGGATCATTCTAAATTTTCAGTTAAAAATCCCTTCATCATCTAACACTATGTAAGCTGGACCATTGCCAAGGAGTATCGTTTTGATACTAAGCTAAGCTCTAAACCAGTGGAAAATAGGATTTATGAATTCTAAGTTTGCTGGCGCTACTTATATTGCTCCTCTCATGGATTACAGTGTTTAAAATGTTTATAAGTAGTTAGCATTAAATTTTTGCTTTCACCGCCCTAGCCAGTTTGCTCAGTGGATAGAACATCAGCCTGCAGACTGAAGGATCCCGGATTCAGTTCTGGTCAAGGACACATCCCTGGGTTGCAGGCTAGGTCTTCAGCCCCGGTCAGGGTGTGTGCGGGAGGCAACCAATCAATGTGTTTGTCTCACATCGTTGTTTCACTCTCTCTGTCTATCCCCCTCCCTTGGACTCTCTAAAAATCAAAGGGAAAATATCTGGGGGTGAAGATTTTTAAAAAACAAAAAACTTTTTGCTTTCTCCCAGACAAAGAAATGACTGTATAATGGAATAATATGCTTAACGAGGAGGAAAGAGTTTGGATGGAGAGGAGTATGATAAAGGACCAGATCCTGCTAATGCCCAGCCTGTTCTAGGTTCGCAGAGGTGCTCCTTTCGGCCTCTGCTAACCTAGTTGTGGCTTATTTTGAATGTCTCCTTTTTTATAATCCCGTTACCACTTAAACTCTCCCGAGCTGGAAAGTGGCCTAATTGCATGTGAAGTAGCCAAGGCCTTTGAAAAGAGCGCTTCCTTCAGTGGACCCGTGTTTGCCATCGCTGCAGTTCTGAAACGACTCACCTGGGCCCTGAATTCTGCCTCAATCACTTAATCTGCTTTCCAGGATTTCCTCTGTGAGGGATTAACCTTTCATCTCACTGAGCTGTGAACATCAAACAAGTAGGAGGGAAGCCTTCCTTTGCCAGAGAGAATTCTGCTAGCTTTGAGAGCCGGTAGGGCACGTTTACAGCTAATCAATACAATAGCATGCAGCAGGAGGGATTAGGAAATAACATTAGTTGTGCTTTTACAATTTAGCATTAGTCATGTAGTCATACTTTTCTTTAGAAAAGTCTATGTCTACCCCTAGTTTTCCAGGGCAGGAGAGGAGTGTAGAAGAAATCTAAACTCAAGTGATGCATATAAATGGCCCCAAGTAAGCAGGAACCCACTCCGAGAAAGACCACCAGAGCCCATGTGGTAAGATTTCTTTTCAGCTGAAGTTGGTCTAGTCACAACCTTAGCATATTTTAGCCTCAGCGGAGGAGTCCCATTTACTCTTTGTGCCCAACCTACTTGAGCTTTTGGCAGATCCAGGAACGTTTGATGGGCGCCCACACCAGGTGAAGCCCATCCCGGCGCTCCTGCTTCGGGCAGCCTGTGGAGGCTGGCTCCCTCCCATTCCTGTACTTCTCAAGTATAGAGTGATTCCCTTTGTGCTGATCATGCATGTTCCCCCTTTGTCGCAGGAGGACTGTGCCCGGGGTCCAATGATCCTTGCGTGGAGAAGCCGTGTCCAGGGGACATGCAGTGTGTCGGTTACGAAGCCAGCAGGAGACCGTTCCTCTGCCAGTGTCCACCGGGGAAGCTCGGAGAGTGCTCAGGTGCTGAGTGGGTTGCCATGACGAGGGTCTAAATTCCCGGTCCTGCGGCACTTGCCCTTGAGTAAATGACACTGCCCTAGCCCTTTTCAGAAGACATTTCTGCCTGCCAGCAATACTGTCCTTCAGAATGGACCAGCGCTGACCTCCACCCTCAAACACATTCGGCATTCATGGCAGCTGCAGCCTGTGTGAAGAACCCGTGCAGTGACCGTGGACTCCTGACATAATGGGGAGACCACAACATGTGTTTTCAATCATGTTGCATGGATGGTATGGGTGTGAAACTATGGAACATACAAGGCTACTGGTTGGCAGGAGAGTTGGAGTGTCTGTGGCATGACCTTTGATGTTCAGAGGGCTGCACAGACCCATAGTCCCCAAAACAGAGACCAACAGAAGGCAGAGCTGAGCCAGTCCAGTTGGCCTTGCATGGGGTAAGCCCAGCCTAGAGCACCAAGTAAGCCTCTCCCCTGGAGATGTCTAACTCACTGCATGTTCCCCAAACTGTAGGTGCTCACCTCTGTTTCTTAAAGAAAGAAAGAAATCCATATTTATATTATTTCAACCCAAATGGCCCTCTGTTTCTGATCTTCACTCAATACATTTGATTCATGTATTCTCTACCTCTTTTTTCTTCTAAAAAGAGTATTGTTCACTTTAGGCACCAATAAAACCCTCTCTTTGGTAGAGGATATATTTAAAATACAGGTACACTGATGCCAATTTTGGAATCCAAGGACTAGATTGAGTAATGATTGAATAGTAATTATGGTGATAATAGAAAATGATTATGACTATTGTGTGCAAGGCACTTTGCTAAGCAGTGGGTTCCAGAAATAAATTCAGCCTTTGCAAAGAGAAGCACTGTTCTTAGAAATGGAAGCCAAAGCTCTTTCATAGCTGATTTCAAGAACAGAGCTGCCCGTTAAGTGAAGGGATCACCAGTGTATTTGCTTTTGAAGTCATCTAAGGCTTAGACTTGAAAGATATTTATGCTGTCCCCCCACCAGCACACATGCCATGCACATAGCAGGTGGGGATGCAGGGTGACAATAAGGCCAAGCCTCCTAACTTCAGATGTCACTTTCTGCCCATCTCCTTTCTCCTCTCTATATAGAACACTTTTGATTGTTCACAATTATCATCCATTCGGTGTATTTCCACACTTTGCACCTTTCCTCCCAGCAATACAGCTTTTCAACCATTACTTTGCTTGTTAAAACATAAAGTTGGAGTCAATAAAAAAAAGAGGGTAAACTCAGAAGTGGATGATGTGAATAGGGCTAAAAATTCTGAGAAGGGGAGCCTTGAAATTAATAGTCAAGGTAGAATTGTGACTGCATATGACATGAACTCCCTTTCTATCCGTTACCTTTTTCTAACGCTAGTGCAAATGTCATGATTTGGCTATTAGGCATTAGGATATGTGGAGAATACAGATATTCTTTGAAAATGTTTGTGTCTTCCCTTAGTTCCATGGAATTGAAAGTTCTTAAGTGTCTAAGTGATGGGAATGGGCATGATGGGTTATCCTTTAATAGAGCTAATTTTAGAAAGTGGGAATTGGGAATTTAGTGACACTAATAAAATTCTGGTTATAGAATTTACCAAGTTGCCCTTGTCATTAGACAACTAAGATTTTTTTTGGCATCTGGACTAATTAATATTTGTTTTCACTTTGAAATTTGAGTGTGACCTGAAATGGAGAACCAGTTTTTAATCAAAAATGGTTTCTCCTCAATGCCTTCACTAACTTCCCATGGTCTTTCATCACCTTGCTTGGTAGTTGTTAGGTGATTTCAGGTGTCCCTGCTCATTTCTGAAAGTTAAAAGCCTGTGTGTCTTCTCATTATGATCTTTTCAGGGCACACTTCTCTCAGCTTTGCTGGAAACAGTTACATCAAATACCGGCTTTCTGAGAAGAGCAAAGAAGAGGACTTTAAGCTGGGTCTGCGCCTGCGCACACTGCAAAGCAACGGGATTATCATGTACACCAGAGCAAATCCCTGCATAATTCTGAAGGTAATTAAAATGCGTTATCTGTTCCTGCAGTCAGTTCTCATGTTAGTCTTTTGGCTCGTGGGTTGGGGGGCTGCTGAAATCGTTTTGTCTTTTAAATTCAGAAGACCAGAAGCAGACTTTAGGACAGAGGGAGAAGCAGCAAAACTGGGAAGTGTGCCAACACCCGTTTCCTTTTGTATATTCGGCTTCGAAACTGGCTCTTGGCAGACAGGGGATCTCTCTCTAGAGTGGGTTCAAGGGCTGGCCTCCTTGGAGCTGTAATCACTCAACAGCTCATTAGAATGTATCTCCTAATCAATTCCATGGCAGGGTTAGTCCTTTAAAAAGGTTGGCTGTGTACTCGTCTATCCCCACTGACCTCTGAGACGACTTCTGTCCTTGCTCAGAGAGAAGTTGGAGATGCGGAAAATGGAAGATTCCATATGTCCTATCTGACACAAGTAGCCCAATTTTTTAAAGTAATTTCCAGCCTCAGAAACCCTTCAAAGGCAGCCAGATTTCCTTTAGAGCAGGTCTGGCATTTGTGTTCAGTTCAGAGCTTCTGGTACCTTCATGACAACAACAACAGCAATAGTACTAAAAGCTTTACACACATCATTTTGATTTTTATTATAAAATTAATATAAATTAATAAATTTGTTATATATGATCATCCCCATTTGATAGAGAAGATAGAGGTTCAGAGAAGTTAAGTTAGGTAAGTTACCTAAGGTTGTACAGCTAATAAAAGTGGTAAAGCCTGGACCCTGGACCTGCACTCCAGTCTCTTAATCTCCATGCTCCCCTAGTTCTCAGTATTGACACTATAACTTATTTTATCAAAAAAAAAAAACAACCCACAAAAAACACTCTGGCCCTGGCTCACTTGGCTAGAGCATCATCCCAATATGCCAAGGTTTCGGCTTTAATGTCCTATCAGACCACATACAAGAATCAACCAATGAAGGCATAAATAAGTGGAACAACAAGTCTCTCTCTCTCTCTTCCTCTTTCTCTCTAAAATCAATCAATCAATAAAATTTTAAAAACACATTCTGGGTGTCTATAGGACAGATTAATCCCTCCAGTATTGTGAGGAGAAGAAATAAGAATGAGGAAGACATGCTTAATCGAATGCATTTCTTACCAGGTTGCTACACCAGCCCATTGGAAGGGCCTTCAGAGATATATAGTCTGTCCAGCAGGAAGTGCCCACCCAGGCGGAAGTGGCTGACAGTGTTTCCTCCCTAGGATTCTATCACTAGGTTTAACTGGAGTCATAGTGGACCTTCCTAGCTTCTATCCTTTGATTGTTTATAGGTGACATCCAAGTTGATTAGGTGGCCCAGACTTTAATCCTAGGGGGAGAGAATTGAGTGCCAGTGGCTTCCCCTGTCACATAGACTTTTGCCAGGTGTTATTGCCAGGTATTACTTGGTGGCCAAGAGTGAATGATCAGGGAGTTGGAATTCAAAAGTTGGCTACTTTTGAGGGGAATCTCCCACTGTCCTTACTCATTCAACTCAGAGAATAATTTTAGCTCTGCAAAGGAAAGCGTGGTATTTAAATTTTTTTATTTATTGATTTTAGAGAAAGAGCAAAGGAGAGAGAGAGAGCTCAGTTTGTTGCTTCACTTATTTATGCATTCATTGGTTGGTTCTTCTTCTTTTTTTTTTAATCCTCACCTAAGGGGAGGGAAGGGGAGAGAAAGAGAGATTTCAACTCAGAGAATAATTTTAGCTCTGCAAAGGAAAGCGTGGTATTTAAATTTTTTTATTTATTGATTTTAGAGAAAGAGCAAAGGAGAGAGAGAGAGCTCAGTTTGTTGCTTCACTTATTTATGCATTCATTGGTTGGTTCTTCTTCTTTTTTTTTTAATCCTCACCTAAGGGGAGGGAGGGGGAGAGAAAGAGAGACAGAGAGAAACACTGATGTGAGAGAGATACATGGATTGGTTGCCTCCCACATGTGCCCTGACTGTGGCAAGGGATCAAACCTGCTACACAGGTATGTGCTCTTGACTGGGAATCAAACCCGCGATCCTTTGTTGTGCGTGTTGATGCTCTAACTAACCATTGAGAAACTGGCCAGGGCTCATTGGTTGATTCTTGTATGTGCCCTGACTGGGGATCAAAAGACTCACTCTGGCCTTGGCCAGTGTGTTCAGTGGTTAGAGCATCAGCCCACACACCCAAGGGTCATGAGTTCAATTCCCAGCCCTGGTCGGGGCTCACCTGGTCGGGGCTCGTGCAAGAGGCAACCAATCCATGTGTGTGTCTCTCTCACATCAATGTCTCTCTCTCTCTCTCTCTCTCTCTCTCTCTCTCTCTTCCTCTCTCTCTCTTTCTCTCTCTCCCCCCCCCTTCCACTCTCTCTGAAAAAATCATTGGAAAAAAGATCAGATATTCATGGTGGAAGAAGAAAAATGCAAAGACCTAACTCCTGTCTTTATTCTCTCCTGGCCCCAAAGCATACTGCCTTCAACCCATAGATCACGTTCTAAATAGCCCTGAGTGTGGAGGTTGGTTTAATCGCTTGGGAAATTCTCTGCCCTTCGAGGTGCCAGCTCCTGGTGGTTCTGCTTGAGTGTTACTGACCTTCCTCTCTCCTCCTTCAAAAGGGCTGGTGGGTGCAGAGCATCCTTTTGAGGCAAACACTTTCTATTAGCAACTCTCTCAAATTGCGTTAAACTTGAGAAGAAGAAAAATCTTGGACCTGGATGGCTTGACCCTAAAATGGAGCTTGTCATTTGACACGTCACTGGAAAATATCTAAAATGTGCTGCTCCCTGAGGATGGCAAAGAAGAATTAAACCTTTTAGGCAGCTCTAGCTCCTAAGGCAGATTGTATTTCATGGAACAAGTGTGTTTCTGGAAGTTGTGTAAATTGAATCTCTATAAATGGAATTCTAATAAACTCAGGATGGTTGCCGATTGAAGGGACTCTCTCCCATTAATCCCTTTGTGATGTGAATAATCACCCCCCAATCTGTCTGTTCTCTACATTTGCTTTTCATATGTTGGGTTAGCCCAAAGCAGGACACAGCTGTACTGAACTATTGCAGATATTCTCCTACGGTCGCCAGGAATATCCACTTAGGGGATTTGGATCTGTTTGCTTAACATTTCCAACCTCGTGCAAGATTTAATTTTATTGGCCTTAGGTACGGTGTGTGGCTTGCACTTTGGTTCAATGACTACGCTGAAATGCTTTGTTTAAATTGCACTTTTGGCTGTTTATATTTTCCCAGTTAGAGCACATTCTCTAAAAAGTACTTAAGACAGTCAGTGGGGTGGAGGGCACCCCTTGCATGGAGACCTCAAGAAGTGAAAATGCTCATGGGCAAGGAGCGCTGCTATCGCCAGACAGCAGTGAAGGGGGGCATTCATCTGTTCAACATGGACACCCTGTTTCCTTCCAAAAGATTCCAGGCTTAACATAAACACCCAAATGCAATAAAATCGAAACACCATTAAGAAAAACACACACAAAAGAATAAGAGCCAACCAATGAAGTGGGGAAGGGCAGAACATCATCCCTACAATATCTAGATCTAGGGTTGCTACTTCAGTGGAACAGAAACCATAACTCTGAGTTTCCTGGCAGCCAAAGCAAGAATGAAAATGGTGGAGTAGGTTCTGTGGCTGTCCTTGAACCTGTAATAAAAACATGTCAGATCACCAGGAGAGATTTGCCAGATACAAGTAACATTTCACCTGTGCCCATCTTTTAGGTCCAGTGTTACAGCAAAAGCACAAGTCCTTGCTTATTCATTTAGAGCGGTCACATTTTTTAGCTTTTGGAGAAATTCTAGATGATGCATTGCTTTATGTTGGTGATTCTCGAACATGGCTAGCTTCACACCCAGGGTTGAAAGGAAGATGGCCAGGGAGAGTTCCTTTGGTTTTTAAAGCTTATTTGGCCACTTGGAGAATCCAGGTCTTTCTAACATAGATTAGAAGAGTAAAGAGGAAGCCCCCCACCCAAGATCCCAGTGTCCCAAGAATCTGCATCAGAGTATCACTAAGAAGGGAGTTAACATATTATAATAATGACATACCTAAACACTTACCCGTGGTGACTACTCTTCCGCCGATGAAAAAACCAAGGCTCCGAGAGACTCAGTGACATACACAAAGTGAAAGCTGGGGAGTGGTAGGTCTTGGCTTCTGACAGAGGCACACAGGTTGAGGGCACTACAATTTTTATAAAGAGAAAAGATTTGGAGGGCTGGGATGATAATTGATGTATTCAAAATGTATTTTTGAGCACTTACTGTGTGCCAGATAACTATTAATGGCAGCCATGAAAATAGGTTTGTTAAAAGTCCCCTTTTCAAAGAACATGTAGTAACCCCCTTGCAAGGTTTATTATCACACCGAAGATCCAAAGCAGTAAGACTCTGTGTCACAATTTAAACTTCTTTGCTCAAAATTCTACATTCCTCCAAGAAGACCTCTTACAGACAACTTGATATGTTGTCTCCCAAGCCTCAAGCCACAGAAGACCTGAGTTAAAGCATATCACTGATTTGAAACAACCCCGAGAGCCTAAATGTTTTGTAACATTAGGGCAATATTCTCTGAATTATGCATTTCACTGAAGAAATTGCCTCCTTCCCCCACCCAGCACATCATTTCAGATCATTGCTATAAAGTTTTTTTTACAGTTTCATGCACACCTCAAATTCTATTAAAATAGCTTGCCCTCTGATTTGAGAAAGCTTTGTTCTCTTAAAAGAGAGATCCTTTAAAACTGGGTTAACCCTATTCTGAAGACAGAGAAAAATAAATAGGATCAGAGTGTAATTTTCCAGTATGAGAGAATATGAGAGCATTCTTTTCTCTCCCTGGCGGAATATACTCGTGAAATAGCAAAAGATTAACTCTTTTCAAGGCAGCTTTTGGCATCAGCATTCTAGTTTGTCATCTAAACAAGGCTTATCATTTCAAACTCCTGGAATTTTGAAGATACAGATGAGTTTTCTTTTCAAAAAGCTGAGGATCATGTAGGCCTCTGGCTTCCTGTTCATTCAGTAGTGCTGCTGCTGTTATTTTTTTTTTTTCAACAGGAAAGCAAAAGGTATACTTAGCAGTGCTCAGTGTTAGTCTGGGATACTTTTATGATTCTTAGTGACAGAGCTCCAGTGTATGAGTACATCAGAGCCACATCAGTTCTCCTGGGTGAATTTGTAACTTGGTTATTATCCCTAGAGATAGGGGGTCGGGTTGGGGAGGGGAACGGACCAAGTAATATATTAATTGAATACTTCCTTTTACAGAACCTTACATGAATTGTACCCTCACCACCAGATTTCCCCTGATAGACTAGGGACACCACTTTGTAGCCACAGAGCATAACAGCAGATGGACTGTGCAGAAGGTAGTCCCCGAAGTCACATTTGATCATTTTATGACTCACATTGAAATAAAAATATGGATATTTATCCAGGAGTTGTCACTGAGCAAGTATTCTGGTATGATTTACAATATCCACTCAGTCCATTTTGTTGAACTGAAAAAGTAACAAAGACAACAGCATAGACTACTCACGCAAGCTCTCTGAAAAGAAAAGAAATATTTGCAGTCTTTTTTACGTCCATACATTTGTGTTACAGAGCAGAGTGTGTATGTACTAACTGTGCATGATGTGGCTAAACATTCTGCAGGGACCTAGTCTTCTGGTAAAATAAGCCACTGCAGATATCTCTGCTCCACAGATAAGGGGTCAACCAGGTGGCTCTCTCCAGGTGACCTGTGTAACACAGGACAAAGCCCAATTAGATCCTCATTCCTAACTTCCCAGGGCTCTGCCGGTTCACAGAGCCTCCCACCTTCTATACATAGTGTACATGCTTGTGTGGCATGAGCCTATGAAATTTATGCCAAAAAAAAAGAGGTACCAGGGAATCCATGGAGCCACAGAGGTGGAAATGACAGTCCCCAAGAATGAGTGAGTGGAACATACTGGAGCACAGAGATGTAATCTATTGTGAGAATGAGTGATGCTGTGATAATCCCTCACTGTCTATCATGAGTGAAACCTTTCAGAAAGACTGGCTCCGTCTGTTTCTGTGAATTCATTTGCCATTCATATCTCCTTAGCTCTTAGTGACCTGGAAGGTCTATGTTCCTTCCCTTCCCCTTCCCCGTTGGAGGACAGGGTGTACAGGAATGTATTGCCTGATGCATATTAAAAAGCGCTTTGGTGTCGTCCCCCGCGCAGATCATGGACGGTAAGCTGTGGTTCCAGCTGGACTGTGGCAGTGGCCCCGGACTCTTGGGCATCTCGGGCCGCGCGGTCAACGATGGGAGCTGGCACTCGGTCTTCCTGGAGCTCAACCGCAATTTCACCAGCCTGTCCCTGGACGACAGCTACGTGGAGCGGCGCAGGGCGCCCCTCTACTTCCAGACACTGAGCGCCGAGAGTACCATCTACTTCGGGGCCCTGGTGCAGGCCGAGAACGTCCGCAGCCTGACCGACACGCGGGTCACGCAGGTGCTGAGCGGCTTCCAGGGCTGCCTGGACTCGGTGGTGCTGAACAACAACGAGCTGCCCCTGCAGAACAAGCGCAGCAGCTTCGCGGAGGTGGTGGGCCTGACCGAGCTGAAGCTGGGCTGCGTGCTCTACCCTGACGCCTGTGAGCGAAGCCCCTGCCAGCACGGGGGCAGCTGCGCCGGCCTGCCCTCCGGGGGTGAGTGTGCCGGGTGCGCCCTGAGCACCCTGCGGGGGCAGCGGTGGAAAGAGGGGTGGGGGCGATAGACTTACAGGGGGCCTCACTCTCACATGCATAGCCATCCCAAGTGCTTGCCCAGAGACGGTATTCATCCAAGATGCTAGCAAAGCTTCCTAACCACCTTGGGGGGACTGAGTGGTTGGCAACTACAGGAGTGTCCAGTTTGGCCAGTCCATGTGCAACATCCCATAGGCGGTGCAGGACCCTGACCACAGGAATCTAGAGATGCTGTCACAGATGCCCCCTCCCTGGCCTGCCCCACACTCCCCCAGGCCCCAGCTGCTTGGAGGAATCAGACCCCTTTTTCAGTTGTTGCCCTCTTGAGTCTCCTGCATGTTGCTGCAGAATAACTGGTAGCAGTCTGAGTGACGAAGACCATATGGCAGCAGGTAGACAATCCTTTCACACGTAGACATATAACTTTACTGGAAGCTAAAAGGGTGGGGCAGGGGGTGAACCCACTTCCCAGGAGTAGAAATATAGCGGAGATGTTTTGGAGCATGCTTTAGAATGTGTGTATCAAAGATGAGTCTAGTGACAACTCTATAAAGGAGTGAAAAGTCAAGAATAAGGAGAGGGCAATTGACCTGAAATCTCCAGACAGTCAGTGAGGGTTTCGTGCTTTACCCCAATAATTTTCCTCCCAAAGATACATCATGAAGATTATAAAGAAAGAGCAAATAGGGTGCCTCCCTCCCCAAACAAAAGGGTGGCGGGACTTACAGAGGGTTTCTGTTGTCTGAGGGAAATGCCAAGGTTATTGCAGTCCTGGGAGTCTGCAGATACAAGAACCCCTGACATTACCCAGATGCAGTGTGCGCTCATGCAAACCGGGCCAGGCCCTTCTGGGTTGGAGCCTTTGCACCTCCCTGTGGCTCAGCCACTGATTCCACGGCAGCCCCTTTTCGGACTCTCCCGGCGGCATTGTGATTAGCAAATTTAAACCTTCCTCACAAATCACTTAGAGATTCTGCTGTGCACATTACCATCTAATGTTCGTGAGGCCCAACTCCAAATTTAGAGTCCATTTTATTATTAGAATGGTATAAACTGTCCGCGGAATGATGCACGGCCGAAATACAGACACCAGCGTTATTTAGACTTGCATATGTTACTGCCACAATGAGGGCCGAGGGCCCTGGGGGGAATTTCTGCAGGCTCGATTTAAGAAATCTATTTGCTGTTTTTACTATCTCAGCAGTATATGTAAATAAAGGGTTGTTATGGTGCCATAATTCCCGAATGATGGGCAGTAACTATACTTCAGTGGTTCTATAAACCAGCCCATTATGACAAGTCATGGCCAGTTTTTCACCAGGCAAAACAATTCTGCGAGTGTGAGCCATCTAGGATATATAAAAGGAGCATATAATTAAATTGGGTTGAAATAGAACACCACTCCATGTCAAATGCTAGGTACACAGCCACAAATTGTAACATACTTTTTAACGATGGCAGGACATGGTTTCTTCTGGCAGAGAGATGGGCTTCCACAATGGGTTAGCTTTAAAAATAATAATAATCACTGTATTAAGGAAAAAGCCTATGGAATCTTGCTCTTCGGGGTGCGTTTTCTTTTTTTTTTTTAATTGCCATGAAATCCTTGAGCTAAGTATTCAGTGCAGGTATGTTCGTGAAATGACTGTAACCCACATCAGAAACAGCGATTTCCTTGTATTTTTTTTTAATCCCCTTTAGGTTTAACCAGATTCCAGCCCTGAGGACCCGCCTGTCATATACTTTTCACATGGCCCAAAGAACTTGCTTTCCAGGGACCCAACCTTGCCCACTGTGGTCAAGGTCAACCTTGCCTACTTGCTCTCTCATGCTCCTCTTTGTCCCCCTGCTCTCCATTCCCACCAATGATCGGGTCTGGGATTCCACAACAGGTGCTCCTTCTTCCAAAGTGAGAGAGCCTCTAACCCAGGGGTCCTCAAACTTTTTAAACAGGGGGCCAGTTCACTGTCCCTCAGACCATTGGAGGGCTGAACTATAGTTAAAAAAAAAACTATGAACAAATTCCTATGCACACTGCACATATCTTATTTTGAAGTAAAAAAACAAAACGGGAACAAATATAATATTTGTATTTGCATGTGGCCCGCGGGCCGTAGTTTGAGGACCCCTGCCTAACCTGCTCAAGTCTCTCCTTTGGGCCTGGGGGCATATGTTTTCCTAAAGCAAAGAAAGTATCTTTCCTCACCTCCATCTTCACAACCTACTTCTCCCAAGCCTACTCCTCTGTTGAATGGAGGGGGCCCACTGGTTCCGATCTCAGCAGCCCCCAGGGCATGGTCCAGGTGGGGCAACCTGGGGCTCGTAGGCACAGCAGTACTGAGCCCAGGGAGAGTGAACTCCTGACACTCACCAGGAAATCCAAGAAGAGGGCTTCTGTTGCTTCCTGTGGAATCAAAGGCACAAGATTCCTCTTCTGATGTGTGAGGCAGCACCTACCTGCTTCCTGGCTTTAGGGATAAGGCCTCCGCTTCTAAGGAAGGAGGAGAGAGACTCCATTTCCTTGCCCCCCATTATCTGTTCATATTAGAGTAATTTTTGCCAGGTCCCGGTATCCTATCTGCAGATTCCCTCCATTGGTGCCAAATAGTAGGGGGCAGGGACAAGAACAGCAAGAACCAACAATCTAGCTTTTAACTCAGCTCTGTGAAACTATGTAGCTAATTATAAGGTTATTTAAAATAAAAAGCATCTTAGTTATGATAGTTTACAAAGGACAATAAGACTGAGTCGTTCATGAAAGAATATTCATGCCTTGGAGGATTCCTTCTGGCTGCCAGGAGTGTTTAATGGCAGGGAGAGAGTCTTGCTTCCCCAGATCAAAGGCTATAATGCATGTGGTATTCAAAGAGGAAATTGGGGCTAGAGAGAATAGAGAGAAGTCATTAAAATGTGACTTCATGCACAGGAGAATGTTGATAGCACAAGTTAACTATTTGAACATTTCACTGTTGTGGGAACCCTGTGTTACCATGTGATACTCTAATGTTGCAGGACACGTATTTAGCATAATCATTCTCTCGACCACTGGAGAATGCTGGGATACTGTTGCTCATTGGCCCTCCTGATGGCCCACTCTCACACTGTGGCCATCCTAGCACATTACTGCAGAACACTCAGAGATTTTACAGCAGGCAATCCACAGCAAGAAGCTTCTTCTGTCAGAGGGAAAGGATTCTGCTCTAACCACCTCCAAGCACAATCAGACTCCTGCATGAAGGGCACGGAAGCCACGCCTGCTAGCTCGGAATGCCATGGTCAGCGGGTTTGACCAGTGTTGTGACTCTGGCTGTCCCAGGAGCAAGCCGTGGGGTCCCCGGGGGACTCAGAGGCCAGAACACGGACTTGTAATAAGAGTGTAAATATGAGGCTGTAGAGCAACCACAGAGGGAAGGCTCTCTTTTGGTAAAGCCTTCAAATTATATATATTTCATAACATGAACTGGAAATAGCAACCATTGTGGAGAAGAAATGGTCTGGTCCCACTCTGACCCCTGCATTTCCAGACCCAGTGGGTAGGGAGCGGCCCAGCGAGCACCCACAGTCTGAATCAGGAGTCCTCAGTCCTCCGTGCCTTTTCCTGATCAGCTTAAGCCCATTACCGGAAAATCTAGTGGAGGCTACTCGAGGCCAAACAAACTAGTCATCCATACAGCTTTGCATGAGACTGGAAGTCTAAATCTTAAAATGAAAAGCTGGTAAATTTTTAAATGCTAAGAACTACTGTTTGTTAAGCTCTCACCATGTGCTTGGCACTGTGCTAGGCGCTTACCTTGCAAGTGCTCATACACTGTGACATCATTCTCGCAACAATATTCTGGGATCCGTGCTATTTTTCTCCCCCTACCTGCATTTTACAAATAAAGAAACAAGCCAGAGAGGTTCAGTAACTATCCCAGCATCACACAGCTAATAAAGTTTGTGGAACCACCCAGCCTCTGCTCTTGTCCCGTCACTCGAAGTGTGTTCCCGGGACCAGCAGCATCGACATCACTGGGAATAGAGGTGCAGCATCTCAGGTCCCACCCCAAACCTACTGAATCAAAATCTGAATTTTAACAAGATCCCTAGGTGATATACTGATTTCTCTCTCTGTCTCTTAACTGCCCCGAAACCTAGGAGAACTTGTTCTCTTTTGTTTGTACATATTACACATCGTGGTTCTCAAACTCCGAGGTGCAGCTGCATCACCAGAGGACCTTATTAAGATAAGACTGTGTTAGCGAAGAGGCTCTTGATTGTTAAGGGAAAAGGAACATCTGTTTACTCGCCTCCATCATTTGCTGCCCCGGTCAGAGGAACCTTCTGCTAGGTCACTAAATTGTACTTGCAAATTTCTGAACTTCCCACCAAGAATAATTTCTCAGTGCAAAGTCCGTGGGGTAAGGGAGACTCAAACATACAAGCTGGAATCTCAGAATCTGCACAGGTAGGGATGCCGGAATCTCTGTTTTTAACAAGGCTCCAGGGTACCATGCACATCTGAGTTTGAGGACCCCTGGTACTTGGAAATCTCAGTAAACTCTGTGTGTGCAGGAATGGGACTCGGTCAATTCCAGAAGAGTTAAGTAGTCACAGGACACTTAGGAATTGGTGTCAGATGCTCATCCTGCATTTTTATAATTGTTTTCACGTTAAGATTGAGCTTCATTCCCCAGACAGTCAACAGTCTGGAGTCACCCTGAGCTTCCCTTCAAAGATAAAGGCAACAGTGTCTTCCTAGTTTCTCTAAGCAAGTTGCACAAAACAGCAAGTTCTTAGATGTTACAAATATTTGGGCATAGAAGTGTTGTCAGCAACAAAGCTCCCCCTGCTACTTTGGGTGATGTTTTTTGTTTGTTTTCTTTTTAATATTTTTTATTGATTTCAGAGAGGAAGAGAGAGGGTGAGGAGGGTGAGAGAGATAGAAACATCAATGATGAGAGAGAATCATTGATTGGCTG